GGAAGACTTCATGTGAGGTAGAGAATAAAATTATCCTTTTATTGTAAGAAATTGTTTTTGAATTTTTAAATTTAATAATTGCCTATAATTATCCATCATGGAACAACCTCATTAACACTTTTTTTTTTAATGACAGGGGAATCCACATCCGCTACTCTTCGAGTGTGCACTGGGTAAACCTCATTAACACTTTTCGTTTAACGTATGGTTGTATGCATTAATATTAAATTCTATCACGACATTATTATATTTTGGCCGGAGAAAAGGAATGTAGGGAGTTGTCGTGTGTTTATGTAAATATGCATAATGGAGTTCAAAAAAATTCAGTATCCAAAAGTTCAATCAGCTTTGTGGTTAGATAGAATACGTGATAGAAGGTATACTTTTGACGATTCATAAGTTGAGACTATTCTAAATATGATTTACAACGATCTCAGCATGCCAGAGCTGTCCATATTCACAACCGTTAACGAAAATTCCCACAACGAGAATAAATTGGAACTTTTACACCATGAACAATTCACGATCGCCAATCCAATTTGGAGAGAATTATGGTTTTCACCTAAATCTCTTGTGCTAACTTGAATAATATTAAGTCTTAAACTCTAAATATGGATTGACTATACATATAAATTTTCACGGATTCTATTTGCCTAAAAGATTAATCTAATTAATGAATCATAGTTCAATAGTAATTATTAAGTCCCACCAACAATTGAGCTTAGGACTTAATAGTTACAATCTCCCACTTGATTTAGTCCCAATATCAATTCCTTATTTATTATTCTATACCTTAATTTATGTGCATCTCTGGTTATAATTGGTACAGATATGTTCCGATATGGTGAATCTAAATTGAATAATTTGTGAAGAGACTATACGAGACTCGGCTTAAATAGAGTCTTTGTATACGTGTTTTTGCCCAACAAAAGATATTTAAAGATCCGATCATAAAATTAATAATTTTAAACAACTATTTCTTTATTTAAAGGAATATTTAAATTTGTATTAGTTATATTTTCTCGTTGCATTACTCTCACCTATAGGATTCCTCTTCGAAATGGGATCCTAACTAACAATTTCCTCGTATCAGACCCAACCAGCCCTCGTACATTCAAAAGCTTTATCTAAACATTCAAACCCCCCACATTCCATAGGTTTTGTAGAAAAAATTCAAAAATCAACTGGTCACATTTTGTGATCTCTAATAAAATGTTATGACATATATTTTAATTAAACATGTCATAATCACATATTAGTCATATATCAAATAAAGTCACAGCCATAAAAACACAATTTATGAGTCGCAATTAGGTAATCACAAATTACAGATTTAACATGTATTTACTCGGCACAAAATCATACAATGAACTGATCATAATAGCTATTCTTCTGACCCAACTCTCCACCACCGCCAGCAACCAACCACCCTACTTATCATTTGCACAGAATATAACAGCATTTTGTCTGCAATAACAAACTAAGAGCTTGTTTGGTAAAGCTTAAAAGCCAAGTAAAATCAATTTTTTGATCGTTATTTTACTATTCTAGCCGTCATTTTTGAATTCTTCTCTCACAGGTAGGACCAACTTTATTCCTAACAGTCAAAAAATCAATTATCAAAATCCCTACCAAACAAGCACTAAGTTTCATTTCTAACAAATTTGAGTTATAAAAAAATGTTCTAAATCTTAATTGGCCAGCAAATAATTGGAAAACTGCCTTCTGTTCGTTGAAATATCAAACAAATGTTCAACTTCATTTATTATTAATTACACATTATTGAGTTGCAAACGAAGCAATACACACTGTCACGCATTTATTCAACACAAACTTCAAATATCTATTATTTATTTAATTACATAAAATTTCTTTCGTTCTCAGGAATTTTCACAAGCCAACGCTCTGAAAACAGGCCATTCACAAGTGCAGGTGACGAAACAACGCCTCTTCACTTGCCATCTTCATCTCTTGCAATAATTAACAAGAAAATTCTCGTCAAGTCCACTAGTGATAAATTTCATTAAATAATCACTCAACAAGACCTCTTTGTATTCGGGAGGATTTTCTTCTGATATCAACTCTTTAATGGGGCCATAGAAAATCTTATCCATGTGTATAGGACCAGAGAAAAAGCGTGCTATGGAAATTCTTGGCCCAAGACGATTGGCAACCACTCTGTGCTTATTGCTTCTGAATTTTCCATTGGATACCAGCTTTAAGCCAAAAAATTAATAGAGAAAAATCTTCAGTAAAAATGAGCCAACAATCAGGTAAAACGAAATCAGAAAACAAACAGATTCATGGTGGTTCGTGTTCGTGGGGAAATACGAAATTATTAGGTTTCAAAGTATAACAATATATCCATATATGTATACCTGGAGAAGATCCCCAATATTAATTACAAATGCTCCAGGAATGGGCTGGACATCAACCCACTGGTTTTGGAAGAAAATCTGGAGACCGTCGATTTGGTTTTGTAGAAGAACGGTGAGAAATCCAGGATCTGAATGCTTTGTGATTCCTAGAGTGAGTTCTGGTTCAGGGCACGCTGGATAATAGTGACAAGTAAGACGGTGCCCTTCAGAACAGTCCATGTTTCTTAGGTGCTCAGGTTCGAGTCCAAGAGCCTCCGATAGTAATCCAAACAGAATATTTCCCAAGTTATTGACGAGTTTTGAGTACTCTATAACTGACTTTCTGTGAATTAATGACATGTTCGACAAGGTTTATTGTATAGTAATAAATCTTATTGAGGAAAAAGAATCTAAAATTTAATCAAATATCTAGTAGTGCTAACCAAACACGGGCTAAACTTTGAGTACATACCTACATAAATCTGGCAAGTCATCAGAATTAATCTGATCAGGATCTGAAAATGAAATAGCCAATGAGTCCCTCCAGCTAGCAGTCCTTGATGTGAACAAATCAAAATTGCTGTTAAATCTCACCCTTCTCGTGTTATCCCGCGTGTAGTATTTCTTTTTCTCCTCAACATCCTGCTCATTAAATTTCTGTATTGCATCAAGCATTTCATCGAGCACATTCAAGGATATCCCATGATTCACCACTTGGAAAAATCCGCATGTTTCTGATGCAATCCTCACTTCTTCTACAATCTGTTTATGCCTATGGGTTTTCTCCAGATCTCCCAAATCAATCACAGGAACTTCAATTTGAGCCCTCTTGTAATTCAAATCTTTAGCCAGTTCTTCAGCTGGTCTCACAAAAATCTGGGGAATTTTTTGCAATCCTGAATCAACTAATCCCTTTACACCAGCTTTTGTTTCATCAAAAGTCTTCAATTCTTGCAATCTGTCATATTCTTGAGCACCTGAGGTATCCATTAGTCCAGCTATTAGATGCAAATTTATGGGTGTTTGGCCACTATAGGATTGTTGAGCTATATGTCAAGAAGGTTTCGCGATTTTGGCAATTTTGGACTTATGTTCAACTTTGAACACTCCGTTACTGATTTTATCTATTTTAATATGATTCACCTTATGTTAGACTCTTGTTTGTATTAATTTTCCTAGTATGTCAGTGATTCTGATAAATATGTGGCATATTACACATATTTATTTGATTTACTTAGAGAGTGATCTGGGTGGATCAAGATTGACTTGTAGATACAAAAATCAGGAGAGAGTCTTGTGAGATTCAGAATAATATACTATAACTCTTTATTTTTAATCAGTAAATTCTCTATCTCTACTCGTGATTTATCCTATTTTGGGTTTCAACATAAATCATATGTTCTTGTGATTGTTATTTTCATCTTGCCCATTATGAGAGCCTTTAATATTCATAACAATTGGCTCATTCCCTAACTAGTGAAGTAAGAGCAAGGATCAACAGCTCCTAGGAGATCCAGTTTGGTTTCGTATTAGAGCGAGTTTTGATCAACTCCGCATGAGGTTTGATTGTTTCAGGATGACAAGTATAAAGTTTAATATTTCACTTTTTTATCACGACATTAGATTTCGTTATCGCAAATTTTTGTTTGGACACTAGAGTATAAGCAACATAAGGATTGAATTTCGATAAAAGGGCAGAGAAGGTCCCAATTATATGTTTTGGAAGGTTCAATGATCACGTTTGATTCAACTATCACTAAATTGAAGAAAATATATATTAGATCTCAAGAGATCTTCAGTGAGACTGATTTAGTTGCTTGAAATGGAATTGGTTGTGATCATGTAGCTCGTGCTGATAATTCGAGAAAATTGGTATCCAACGTAATCTTACATATAACCAATGCTTGGATTCAGTCGGCATCTAAAGAGTTTGCCCTAGTTGGGCTATGTGGAAGAGGTGGAGTAATTTGGTGGATTGTTTTGTAATTTAGTTTTATTCCTTGCAAAGAAATTCTATTCCAAGTGGAGAATTTTTAGAACTTCGTTCTTTGCAAAGGTATTCGTGTCAAGGTGGAGATTTGTTATAATTTGTGCGTGATCCCAATTTGATTGAAAATTTAATTGGGAGTTAGTAGTATGACTTGAAGAAGTCTTGGCGGAGTCCAAGACGAATAAGAAGAAGATTTCGCGATTTTGACAATTTTTGGACTCATATATATTCAACATCGAACACTTTGTCATTGATTTTACCTATTGTAATAGGACTTCACTTTGTGTTAGATTTTGATTTATATTAATTTTTCTAGTATATTAGGAATTTTGTATTATAAATATATGGTGTATAACACATATTTATTTGATTGACTCAAAGAATAACCCAGGTGGATCCAAATTGACTCATGGGTAGAGAGATTAGGAGAGAGTCTTGTGAGATCCAGTATAACATATTATATAATCCTTATTTTTGATAAGCTAATTCTTCGTTTTTGTCTATGATTTTTCCCGTCTTGAATTTTCACGTAAATCTTGTGTTCTTATGATTGTTATTTTCATATTGTCCATTATCTTGTTTATAACATTAATAACAATTGGCTCAATTTTTAACTTGTTGAAATTTTATATATCTCATCTCAAGACATGATACAGTAAACAATAATGCCTACAAAGCGAGAATCATTTCTATGTGATGCCAGTAAAATAATGAACCGAAGTAAATATATACATATGAAATGCAATTTATTGATTTTATCATTTGATGTCACTTCACGTGTAAATTATTTCGATATCTTCATAAATTTTAATTTAAGGTGCGTTTGATTGCCAATATTTTTCATGAAAAAATATTTTTTTTAATCAAATTCCTACTTTTGTATCATTTGACGGGTCTTTTTTTTCCATGAAAAATATTTTTCTACTTTTGATCACGTTATTATATTTTCCTCAAAATCAAGGAAAATATTTTCTCTATGAGAGTAAAATTTTATTTTCCAAGGAATTTACTCACTTTTTCTCTCTCATATCTATTCATTCTCTCTTATCCACCCACCATTAAAAATCAGACAAGTATAATATTTTTTAGGTTGAAAATTAAATCAATCAAACACATTTAATTGAAAATTTCCATGCAAATAAGTTCTAGACAATTGAATTACCTAAAATTTATTTTCTTTCCATGCAAAATCCATACTTACAATCAAACAGGCACTTATTGTAAAATTTCTTAATGGAAACGAGATAGTATAATTTACCATCTTTGAATTATAAAACTTGAAATTATAAAACATGCATTAAATGTTCAATTGGAAATAAGATAACTTAGTTCAGCAAGTTGAAATTAAAAATTCATGAGCTGATGAGAACATCTGACTTTTTTGCTTTGCTTATCTCAATTTTCACATTTAAAATGTGCAATTAGGACATTTTATAGAGATTTCTCTGGAAGACTTCATGTGGGGTAGAGAAGAAAATTATCTTTTTCTTCTAAGAAATTGTTTTTTAATTATCATATTTAATAATTGCCAATTATCATCCATCACGGAACCACCTCATTCACACTTTTCGTTTACGTGTGGTTGTATGTTTTAATATTAAATTCTATTGAGACATTATTATATTTTCTCTGGAGAAAAGGAATGTACGGAGAAATTGTTGTGTATTTAGCAAATATGAATAATGGAATACCAAAAAAAAAAAAAAATCAATATCCAAAAGTTCGATCGACTTTGTGGTTAGATAGAATATGTGATAGGAGGTATACCTTTGATGATTCATAAGTTGATACTATTCTAAATCTAATCTACAACAATCTCAGCATGCCACGGCTATCCATATACACAACCGTCAACAAAAATTTCCACAACGAGAACAAATTGAAACTTCTACACCACGAACAATTCACGACCTCCAGTTCACTTTGGAGAGAATTATGGTTCTTGTGCTACCTTGAATGATAATAAGTCCTAAACTCTAAATATGGATTGACTATATATATAAATTTTCACAGATTCTATTTGCCTAAAAGATTAATCTAATTAATGAATTTTAGTTCAATAGAAATTATTAAGTCCACCCAACAATTGAGCTTAGGCAATTCCAAATTTTCAATTCTCAGCTTTCTGTAACCCTAAGGTAGTCATTCATGAGGGTAATTACCATGATATTTTTATTCTAATTTGTTCAAAGTATGATAAATTAAATCTAATTTTTAATTTATCATTAATTCACCCACGTGGGATAACAAACAAGTAAGACCGAGTTACCTGCACGGATGATGAACAGAACTAAAGCATTGAGTTTGAATGTGCTTATAAGGGTATCTAATGATATCATCGAGATAAATTAAAAAGGCTATCTTTGCAACTAGGGTAATTTATCCCCCATGAAGGCAGCACTACTGCAAGAGAAATATTTTTTAGCCTAGGCTACCATTACCGTCCCTATCGACCAATCATCGACCGAAGTAATGCTCTCCAAGACGCAAAAAATGTAGTTCGATCCGACTAGGACGATTTCTATTACCATGTACACCTATAAAACGAGGGAGTTCATTTCCCACAAGACACATAAGAAATCTCTGTAAGAATTACACCCAGTTCCTATATATTCCCTTCTTTAAACTCATAAAAATTCAATGAAGGTATTTTCGTTACAGCAAATTCTCTCAAGTTTACACATTACTTTTCGATGTCAACATATGTCCCTTTTAGTGTAGACTAAAATCTTTTTTTGATAGATTTTGATAAAAAATGATACGGATGGTTGAAAAGTAGAGAGTACCGTAAAATGTATGGTAACAATTTTTCAAACTATAAAGTTCTTGGTGTTGAAATTGGACAAATATCAAGATATAAAAACATATTGTAGAAGGTGGAATTATTGATAGGACAAAACGTGTATTAGATGTCTGAATGGAAACAAGAAAGGTTAGTTCAGTATCTTGGAATACATTTTTGGGAAATTTGCAGCAACAGTTCCTAACCTTTTCATTTTTTACAGACTTTACCCTAACTTTCATTTTGTATCGACGAAGATCCCCAACCTTTCATAAATATGCACTCGAGGTCTATTTGGATGAAAACTATCCAAAACACCGTCAGTTGACCAAAAAATTTCTTTGAGCTATCTGTTACTGCAATGGTTTTATTAGATGTTGATACCTTTTTGGACGGTATTTTTGGACGACATTTTAGACGACGTTATTGGATGTTGATTCCTTAATTCTTCCGATCAGCTGACGATATTTTGGACGATTTCCATCCAAATGAACCACAAATGCATATTATGAAAGGTTAGGAATCGCTGTTGGCACAAAATGAAGATTAGGGTAAAGTCTACAAAAAATGAAAAGGTTAAAGACTGCTGCTGCAATTATCTCTATTTTTTTTTTCCTCAGTGATGAGAACAATTGACTTTTCCTCTTTGGCTTGTCTCAATTTGCACATGTGCAATGTGCTAGGATGCAATATTTTTTGGAGGTTTACCCTGGTAGGCTACATCTAGGAAACATATTAAATTCCATAAGATAGAATATTTTTGGTCGAGGAAAGATGAAAATTCGGACAAGTTACTTAGGGGCTGTTTGGTAGTGTTTTTTTTTTGTTGATTTTGAGCAATTATCCGACCGTTACCCACTGGCATAAGGGACCCACGTTGACAACAATGTTTGAAAATCTACCGGTGAAATACTTAAATTGCCTATTCATCATTAACAATGATTTAACTGTTTTGGGCAAAATGGTCATTCTACCCTAAATTGGTCCAACATTGTGGTTGTCATCTCTGATTTCTTGCCATAAATGCCTGTCAAACTGGAAACCAATGGTCACAATTTTTCTACAAATTAAAATGAGAATTTCTACCAGGCTCTTAAAATTATGCAAATCGAACCTTATTACGGAGAAAGTAAGATACTTATTATTATTTTGAAAAAAAAAATGCGAGAATAGATATTATCATGAAGCATGTGGAAATGAAAGATAGTAACTTGGTAAGAAAATGGGATCATGGGAAAGGCTGAAAGATATACAAGTACCACATTTTTTATTTTTTATTTTATCAATTTTTGTATGATACTGCTTCATATATATTCACAACATATCTAGAGCATATTGATC